GATGCTGCCTGTCTACTACACTTCCTAACGGATACCGAATTCTTAATTATCCTGCAGAATCCAAAACCCTTGTTACGTATCTAAAAATACCCTAAAAATCTAAAATCGATGTCCAAAACTCATTCTGGCCAATTTTGGAGTTCCGGCACGGCAGCGCCACTGTACTCCGACACTGGCTCTTCTGCCCATGGTGGCAATTTGTCTCGACCTATCTAATTTTGGCCAGTTTTTGGGTAGTTTTGGCCGTATCCCTGTAGAAAAACATGTCAGGGGCCTCAGTTGGTCAAAAAATCACAGAAAATTGACCTTACCGGCAAGGGGGGGTGGGGGTTGCACCTCTGGGTGTAGTGGCTCTGCCGATTCTCCTTTGCGATTGAAGTTCTTTCTATAACCAACTTGCACATAAAAGGATGGTGAACACAATGATTGAAAAATTACATAAAACGGAAATCAAAAAGGGACTCATCGGAGGGGTTTTGGGACTTTTAGCGCGACAGCTTTGTCGGGCTTTACCTATAGTTTTCGAATCATCCACTGTCTTTTTTGTTTAGATTTAGCCATAGGGGTTCTCGGAATCAAATTTCGAGCAGGTAGAGGAAATTTTTACCTATTTTGGCAGTCGGCGGTGGCTCTGGTGCGGCGGCAGTCAACGGTCGACCTCTTTCTCTAGCGTCTTGTTTTTCTTCTCTGACGGGGGATGGCAGCTAGGGTTTGGGTTTCCGTGTGATGCGAGATATTTATATCCAACCCGCTTTGATCTGAGCCTCCATCACGATCGATCTCGTACGTCCAATTGCGCCTAAGGAGGAAATAAATATGGATCGTCCATCGTGATTTGATCTCGATCATCTGATCGCATTTAAGGAAGAAATAAATTAGACCATCCATCACAATTTGATCTCGACCGTCCGATCACGTTTAAAGAGAGAACAAATATGGGTCGTCCACGTGCACAGGATTGATCTTGGGTTGTTCACGCGTGCAGGATCTATCTTGGGTCGTCTGATCGCAGAGCACACGGATCGCCCGCGAGGCACCGACGTCAGCATGTCTCGCCACGCAGCATGCTCTGGTTTGTCAGGTTGCTGACTAGACGATCCTACGTTGCACAATTTTTTCTATTTGCACTCTGAGCCCCTGTTTTCAATTTTTTTTCAAAAATACCCTTGGAACCCAAATTTTTACCCTTTTTTCTCAAAATTATTTTTAATTTCATCTCTAACTTATTTTTTTTCGTAAATTCAACAAAAATTAAAATAAATTAATTTAAAAATAAATTTTTTATATATTTTGGAATGTCAAAATTGATTTCGGGCCAAATTTCAGACTCAAGTATTACAACTCTCCCCCCCTTAAAAGAAATTTGGTCCCTCAAATTTATCTCCCTCCTACTTAATCAAACAGTTGGGGATATTAAGTTCTGAAATCTAATTTTTGCTCCCATGTGGCCTCTCTCTGTGTGTGATTATGCAATAGGACCTTAACGAAGGAAATTTTTTTGTTGCATAGTACTCTGCACTTCCGATCTACAATACCCACTGATACCTACTCATAGAATAAATCCTCCTGGAGTAAAAGAGGCTCGTGGACCAAGATGTGCGAGGGGTTCGAGTTGTACTTGCGTAGTATGGACACATGAAACATATTATAGACCTGAATAGCTTTAAAAGTAGTGCCAGTCTGTAAGTGGTAGTACCAATTGAACCGGGGATTTAATTTCCCCCTCTTGCCAAACCTACTTATTTCTTTGAAAGGGGTGACCTTGAGGAATACTCGATCACCTATCTCAAATTCTAAATCTCTCCTCCGAGTGTCTGAATAACTCTTCTGCCTACTCTGAGCCATTTGAGTGTTCTTCCTTATCTTAATTATTTTAGTTGTAGTCTCCTTTACAAGATCTAGGCGGAATAATTTTTTATCACCCACCTCTTCCCAACAGATCAATGATCTGCATGGACGGTCATACAATGCCTTGTACGGAGTCATGCCGATACTTTCCTAGTAGCTATTATTGTAGACGAACTCTATTAATGGTAAATGATCATCTCAATATTCTCCGAAATCAAGAACACAAGCTCGGAGCATATCTTCCAGTGTGCAAATCGTTATTTCTAATTGTCCATTAATCTGATGGTGGAATACAGTACTAAGAGACAGTTTTGTTCACATGGCTTGCTGAAAACTAGACCAAAATCGAGAAGTGAACTTAGGGTCCCTGTCAGATACTACTATCACTGACACTCCATGTAGCCTGACTATCTCTTGGATATACATTCTTGCTACCTTGTCCAATGGATCAGTTATCTTGATGGCCAAGAAGTGAGAAGACTTGGTGAGCCGGTAAATAATTACCCAAATGGTATCATGTCCCGAGTGTGCCCTAGATAATCCTATCACGAAATCTATTGTGATGTGTTCTCACTTCCACTCTGGGATCAGTAATGGCTGAAGTAGCCGACTTGAGCATTGATGCTCTGTCTTCCCCCACTGACACACTAGACACTTGGAAACAAAGTCGGCTACCTCTCTTTTTATCTCATTTTACTAAAATCAGAGTTATATACTTTGATACATT